GACTTTCCGCGAATATTTCGACCAAGGCTGGCTGAAGGCTCGGAAGAAAGGGGTGGAGTCCCGAGGAAACCAGCGAGCGTTTCGCGTTTCGATGCAGTTTTCTTAGGGGGTTGCACGCCGAGCTGTTTGAAATTTACAGAGAGGCCGTGGAGCTGTTTGAATAAAGCAGTAACGTAAGCAACGAGAGACCGTTAATTGCGAATGGTAGACGATAGGTCTGTTGCTTTTTACGAGGCTGCAAAATTGTTCGAAATTACATTCAGACCTGACATCGTGATATCGCGCAATCAGTTTTACAATACTTAACGGGAGTATTTCTCCTCGTTCGTAGCTTTTGCACTCGGAACTGTTAGCAATGGCATTCGATCGAATGTGAGTATTAAAAAATATTTAAATCATTTGTGTTCGCGAATTGAAGCATCGTTAATTTTTGTCTATGTATAATTTTGTCGAAGTATAGTCTATTGAATATTTTCTAATACCTTTGAAAATTTGATTGAGAATATTTTGCATTTTGAGATAACTGATTGATATTTGAAGTATTGAATATGAAAAGCGTCATTGAGAGGACGAGAGAATGTCAACGATCCTATTGAAAATAACCTTTCCGAATAAAAATTAACATTAAAATATTATTAATATTAAATATTATTACAATCAATTAATATTAAATAATAAATATTATATGAAATAATATTTTCATTATGTAAAATAAAATAGTATTTGTACAATATTGTAAACGTTTAAACATGGTCAAAGCGAAGATACTTTCCAATTTATTTTAGAAACTCAGGATTGACAACAGCGAAACAGCATTTGTTACGAACAGCCGTGCTGGCATTTCGAGCGCAAAGGTTTAATATCGCTCAGAAAGATGTAAAAGAGGAGAACCAGATATCGCCGCAAATTGAAAAATATTAACAATGTTCTATCACATGAGATATCAAACAGCAGCCTTCCGGCAAGATTCCTCGGTGCAATCGGGCGAAATTAGTTCTAGAATCGACCGACCTACAGCGAGTCGCAGAAATGTTCGTAATTTCGAATCTTTGCATTTCAATCTCTCTTCAAATGCAAACTCGTATTCCTTTACGATGTAAATTCCAAAATTTACAAATGATAATGCTGGCTAATTATCACATCGTAATTAATTCCTTGGCTTGTAACGTCGCACTCGCTCTGGCATTACAAATTATTGGCGAAAGATAAAAGCAAATTGCAAACACTTGAAAGAAAAAGTAAATTGTGAATCTATGAAGTTTCAAGTCAGATTTTAAATTTAATTTTATTGAACTGTTGAAAATTACATACAATGTTTATACTTGAATAGCCTAAGCTAATTTTACAGTTTCAATAAGTAATACTTACTTCTTTAACCTCTTGCGCTGTAATAACGTGCCACGCACGTCGAGAATTTTTTTTTCTAAAAATTGTAATATTCTCTCAGTTCTAAGTATATTTAAGTGCAACAAAATATGCAAGACAATTAACAAATTTATTACTTCTCAATAATTTCTATCCAGTGACATCATACCGACGAGTTCAAAAAGAAAGCGACGAAATTATCGTGTTACGGTTCGGTCACTCGTTACGGTCCGCAATCGGTTGACAGCGCGAGTCGTGCGAAAATCGAAAAGGGAATCGTATAGGCAAGGGATTAAGTACGACTGACATACAGATACTTCCGACAAGATTGTGACAAACGTAAGAAGAACAACATAAAGCAGCAATAAGAGTTTTGAAATGTCTGAAGTTGACCCGCACAAACTCATCAACGTGACATCGACATAGGGTAGAAATATTTCTGTTGCTCGCTGCGCGTTTACGATTCTCGTGGCACGGCAAACCAGAAAACAGCGCGTCAGATTAATCATCCGTCGATGAATCGACGCGAGGGAGTAACGGTCCCATTGAAAAGAAGAATCGCGCGACCATAGAAGCGAGAGACTGTCTATCCGTGAGACACGAGGGCGGGAGATCTAGCATCACGGACAGGGGAGTGGAAAAGTGGCATAAATGTTTCAGAATCGCGAGCATCTGTCGTCCGGGGGACTTTTTCAGTTGCCGAAAGAGAGCTCGTTTTCGGAGCTGCTCAGGAAGGCGAAGAGCAAGTAGAAGGAAGTGGCGAGGGGGTGAGTTGGGAGGGGGTTTACTATCCTCGTATAATGTATTATAAGTGGAGGCACTCACAGGGCCGTCACTACCAAACACTCAAAGCCTCCCACTCCCGCCTTCTCTAGCTTCTATCTATTCTCTCTCTCTCTCTCTCTCTCTATATATATATATATATATATATATATATATATATATATATATATATATATATATTCCCCTTTCCACCCCCGGTAAACCCTTCCAGCTGCCTTCTCTGTACACTCCGCTTTCGAGTTATCGATAAGAACCGCAGACCTCTTTTGTTGGTTGATAGATAGCCTTTCAAAGCGACGCGAGGTCAAATATTCGACATGCCGCCGGTTCAATTTCGTGCCAATAATATCTGCGCGAAATAAGGACCGGAAGCAGGAGGCTACCGGGCTGCCGAGGCCCGGTTTCCGCCGAAACTTCGTAAACGGTCGGCGGTGGCTTAGATGGGGAGAGGTTGGAAGGGAAATGTTGACGTTTGGAAATGAACTTTGCCCACTGTGTCGCGGCCCGCTTGCTTTCATCGTCTACGACTTGATGGAACTCGATGGAATCGGGCAGGGATGTTTTTCAAAATTTGCGGTATCTGGATTCCTTCGACGAAGCGAAATACTCCCGCCTTGATTAATCCTTCTTTTAGCGACGATCAACGACGAGATAAATTAATCGTCGTAGCATACGTTTGAGAACACTGAACCGATGATTGATCAAGTTTGAAATATTTCTTTCTAAATGCGACGGTGACACTTGTTGAAAGAATGTAAATCATGCGGTGATATTTATGCAAATTTATAAAATTATTGAGTAAATATTGATGAAAAATATTGGTATCTAATGTAGGTTATTTCAGAGCTTTTAATTTGAGAACACCGATTAATTAAATCTGGAATGTTTTTGTTTTTAAACGCGACGGTGGCACTTGTTGAAAGAATATAAATCATGCGATGATATTTATGCAAATTTATAAAAATATTGGGTAAATATTGATGAAAAATATTGATGCCCAATGTAGGTTATTTCAGAACTTTTAGTTTGAGAACGCCGATTAATTAAATCTGGAATTAATTAAATATGTTTGTTTTTAAATTCGATGGTGGCATTTGTTGAAATAATACAAATCATGCGATGATATTTATGCAAGATTATCAAAATATTGGGTAAATATCGATGAAAAATATTGGTATCTAATGTAAGTCATTTCAAGAAAATATAAAATCTGACAATCATCGAGAATATTCGAAGAAAGTTCGTCTGAAACAATCGATTGAACTTACTTGGTTGTTGAAGATACGATGTTGATATCGTAGGACATTCATAGTTTAGCCATCGTAGGATTTCTCTCTCTAAAAGAATCATACCTTAAGTATCTAGTATCATTAATGTATAACAAGCTTCTAGAGTAAGATAACAAAAATTTCCAATGTAAGACGAGACAAGCAGAGTCAACGATTTAAGAGATCGAAATTGAAAAGGAAATCAAAACGTAGATGAATCGAGGAAATAGGAAATAAATTCTCGCTCGTGAATAGAAAACGAAAATATTTATTTAAAAAGGAGCCTCGTATTTAACGAACAAAATGCTAGGAGAGTTAAACTGGTTGGTTCGACAGACATAAATTTGCAAAAGGATCTGAAAAATTTTCGCGGGAAAATGCTAGGAGAGTTAAACTGGTTGGTTCGACAGACATAAATTTGCAAAAGGATCTGTAAAAAAAAAGTAGCGACATTGCACAAAGTAATTTTTCTTTTCGTATAAAATAGAAAAAACATTGATTAGATTCTTTTGCAAGCATATGTGTTCTAAATTCGTCCCTTTTTATTATTACGAAGCTTACAGGATTACAAAATTTCCACGGAAATGAAGCATGCTTAAATACCAAAAAAAGGGAGAGGCTTTAATTGTTATTCCCGGGCCGGATTTTCGACTTCTTTGAATCTCAAAGGATTTACGCGGCGAAGAAGAATCGATCGTTGGATCCGGGGAGTGAAATTTAATTCACGCTCGTAGAAAAACGGGGAGGGAAAGGTGAAAAATAACGAGACGGATATAATTCTTGCTGTTTTAAAACGCAAGATAAGTCACGCAATTGGGTCGGGTTGTATTTTCTGTTTAAGGATAGAAAAACCCGGGCAAAAAGAATAACTATGGTATACCGGAGTTTATCTTTCTATAACACGTTATTCCACGTCGTGTTTCTCGCGAGCGTTGCGTTACGTTGTTGTATCTCCCTACGTGAAATTCGTTCGATAATTTCAACTTTTTCTCACGCTCTCGTCGAAACATGAAAAGTACATCTGTAAGTAAAATTACAGAGGATGCACACGATATAATAAAAAGATACAGAAATATATCCAGAGTACGATTTAACATGCAGAACAATTTTCCAAGATTCTGCTACTCCGATGGTGTTCTGAAAAATTATGAATTTGCATAAAATTCCACAACAGCTCGACAACAGTTGAAAACTGTTAGTACCAACGATGTGGAATCTTTCGTTATTTTCGGTATTTTTATGTTTTCCAACTTGAATCAATGCCAATGAATTATACACAACGATCCGTCAATGATATTTTCCAAAATGTTTTACAAATTTCAATTTATTTAATAGTCATTGGCTTCGTTTCTATAAAATCTCTCCTTTCATAATGCATTCCAACAACGAGCACGCTTCATTTCCGCGACGAAGGGCATGAAACGAGCGAAGATCGTTTCGAAGGCGAAACCCGTACGCGGGATCATGTTTAGCAATTAAGTGCATTGAAGCACCGAGCCTGTGCATATTGTATTAGCAATAAGATTTCGTCCGCGCGGACGAAGGAGATACGCACAGTGTTAAGAAATGGGTTTGTGAGGCCAGGTGGCGTGGATCAAAGCGGACACCAAGGCAGTCCTGGCGATTCACGAGCACGTGATCACGAACAACGCGCGTTTATCGGTGACGCACAGTGACTACAACACGTGGACGTTGAACATTCGCGCGGTACGCCGAGAGGATCGAGGAATTTACATGTGTCAAGTCAACACGGATCCGATGAAGAGTCAGGTACGAAAAACAAAACAAAAAAAAAAAACGAAAGAAAACTACGTCCGTACGATTGTTGAATCATCAGTAATCGCAAAAGTAATCGTAAAACAAAAAAAAGAAAGAAAACTACGTCCGTACGATTGTTGAATCATCAGTAATCGCAAAAGTAATCGTAAAACAAAAAAAAGAAAGAAAACTACGTCCGTACGATTGTTGAATCATCAGTAATTGCAAAAGTAATCGTAAAACAAAAAAAAGATTGTTGAATCATCAGTAATTGCAAAAGTAATCGTAAAACAAAAAAAAAAGAAAGAAAACTACGTCCGTACGATTGTTGAATCATCAGTAATCGCGTCCTATTTGGATAAATTTTTATTTTTACTATACAGAGTGTTCCCGGGTCAAATCGCCAAACTTTAGATATGAATTTAGGATCCTAAAACAAACAAATCTTTTTTAGAAGCAAATGCTTCCTTCAAGAGATATTTGCTATAATACTAAAGTTGTAGGACTTAGTAATGTATGCCATTGAAATAATTCAGGTTTATTACGTAAATTATTAAAGAAAATTGTTGTATTTGAATGATAAATAATAATAACTATTAATATTGAATAATAAATACTAAAAATAATTGTAATTATTATGTTTGCAATTATTGTAATTAATATGTTGCTCAAAATGATTACTATCAGCCTAAATTCGTATCAAAAGTTTGGCGATTTAACCCGGGAGCACCCTGTATAATGATTCAAGTCGTGTAACGTAGGTTGTAAATCACGTGCGCAACAAATATTAACAATTTTTGGAACAAAATTCGCGACTTTATCAGATGATCAACAGGAATAAATCATTGAATGATTCAAAAATCAATGATTGCAAATTATTTTGATCGATTGATTAGTAATTGCAATTGCATTCGGTAATCGATGACAAAAATGATTCACAATAGAAATGAATTACTGCACAATTCTAGTTACCAGTCGTTTCTTATCGATATTCGACATTGATCGATCGTCGACAACGTATACAGACGCTGTTGTTGCATCGTTGTCGACGATGATTTTTGTCAAGACGCGGGCCAACTAGGAGAAGAAGAGGAAAAAAGAGAAAAAAAAATAAAGGGAGGAAACGAAATAAAGAAATAAAGAAAAAAAGAAGAAAAGAAAGGGGGGAAGGAAATGGGCGGAGAAGTAGAGAATCTTTTTACCCTAGATCCGGGTCAGATTTTTATTGTACGCGATGCCTTCGCACGGAGGGCATTCATTTCAAAGCGAAATCCGTTCTGCGCTTGGTGGAAGTAGTGTTTTCCGGCGACTCGCTCCCCAGACAGGGGGGGATAGGTGGCTAAATTCCACGGAATTATGTTCTAAAATTTTCGTCGGGAATTTACATGGCAGAAATACGACCGTCTGTCGTTCCTCGCCCGGCTTAGTTAACACTCGCTCAGTAATTAGACGCCTTCGACGACGCGCCAAAGAATAAAAATGCATTCTCGCGAAATCACCTGGATCTAGGAATTTGATGAATTATTAATATATATATATAGATATTATTAGTAGACTAATTACCAGACTAGAATTAAATGTCTGTGAGACAGACAATTATTATATATGGACTGTCTGCGAGACATATATCATTTTTATTTCCTTTCCTGCGTTATTCAATTCATTTTGCTGAAAATTCCTTATTATCAGTATATAAAAATAAATAGAAATTGAATTTGATCCTTGCTTGGAGCTTCTAATCAGAAGTTTGGATTAATTACGTTAAATTTAAAACTTATAATTTATAATAATGTTATAAATAATATTATTTTATTGTTATTATTTATAATAATATTATTTATTATTAATTTGTAGTATCAATTACGTTTAAAACTTATTATTTTTAATATTGATATTAATATATATTAATATTTTATTATTTATAATTTTAATTATTAACTTATAATTTTTATTATTAACATTTATATATATATTAATATTTTATTATTTATATTATTTATAAATAAATAGTATTATTATTATTTATAATAATAAATAACACATGATAATATTATTTGTTATTAATTGCGTTTAAAACTTATAATTATACAATGTTACCATATTTCTTTTAAGAGTTTATTTCACTTTAATTTTTAATTTCATCGTTTCTACGCACTTATAACGAGTATTAATAATTTACTGGGTAGTCTACATTCTAGATATGTACATTTCAATTGTTCTATAGTACTTGAGGGTTTAATTTTATTGTGTGTGTGTATATATATATATATATATTAGAACAAACAAAATGTTATTCTTCTTCGAAATATAAGACATTAGGCATGTTATTCCGTGGTATGATGGTAATAACGCTGATTCATTGAATTTGCAGAGCGCGTTTCTAGAAGTGGTGATACCGCCGGACATAATATCCGAAGAGACCTCCAACGACCTAATGGTACCTGAGGGCGGATCCGCGAAACTGGTATGCAAGGCTCGCGGCTATCCAAAACCTGAGATCGTTTGGAAGCGAGAAGATGGCGCCGAGATTATTTCCCGCGCCGGATTGTCCGGTGGCAAAACGAAAAGTGAGTATACACGGAATCGTGATCATTCCGTTCTTACGTTTCTTTGTCCGTATGTTTTCATTTTCATTTTAGATTTGTCTCGAAACACACGTCGAACACTTTCTCGCGATTGCGTTCCTTTAACATGAAGATTTTTCTTTCGTTTCTTTCATAGTTTCTTTCATTCCTCTCCTTCTTTTTCTTTTCTGTTTCAAAAAATGCTTCCCTTCGTAAACCGCGTTTTAATTATCAACGTAACGTCGAGTTAAAACGAACGCACTTTTGTTTCGAGGAAGCATTTTTTTCTCCCGCTCATCTGGCTGTTGATTTCAATTATTTCAGCTCCACTTTCGTTATTGAATTTTGCTTTTTGTGCAACTCCGTGTGACAGAAATTAAATAAATATTTCATATTGGAAGTTATTTCTGCCGCTTTGGGGATTTTATTTACGATTAATGGTGAATATTCTCTTTTGTTCTTCGATTTCGTTGAATGGATTATTGTAATTTAATAAAGATGCAACAGTATAATTTGAATCGCTCGGTTGATCGATAGCGAATAAACGTGGATTTATAGTGCTTAGATCGGCCCCCGGTTGTAGATAAGAATTGAGAAATGACAATGCCAATGATGTGTATATAATACGATAAAATATTCTCGGTGTAAGTAAAGTGGCTCGTAAAACACAACAGATTGGAATCGGGAAACAGGTACAATATCGAAATTGAAGTCGATTCGTCAACGTCTCCTCGTACGTTTCAATTCATAAATCATGACGTTTTTAGGAAAGCCCATCCCCTTGCCCCGATCGAGGCAACCGAGTCAACGAAAGTTTCGTTTAAGGAGGATTTTGAGAAAGGACAATTTGAATAATAACAAAAGAATTAGATTGGATTTTATAAAAAATACTTTCTGACTGAAATCTAGAAAGATGAAAAAATTTTTCCTGTGCTGTAAATGTTCCATCTTCAGGCGTAAGTTATAAATAAATTGAGTCACGTATAAAATATAAAAATTTCGATTTCTGACAGCATATAAAATATAAAATATAAATATAAAAATAATATAAATAATACAAATAAATTTAATACAAATATAATATAAAATAATATAAATATAAAATATATAATATAATAAAACATATAAAAATATATAAAATATAAAAATTTCGATTTTCGACAATATTCCCTATTTTCGGTATGAATTTCTTAAAGTTTTGAAGACTAAGAAACCTTTCGCGCAATGAAGTATCTCGTCTTCGGAAACGCGAAATCACACTTGAACATCGACGTCACAGTCGAGCAAAATACAAGAAGCTTCTAACGTGATATAGTATAAAAAAATGAAATAGAAAATTCTGACCTCTCCGGACTGCTTACCACGGATCCGACAGGCTTGAAACTTCGTTTCGTCCTGCGAGAAAAATTGCTACGTCGTTTCCCCGGACTTGCTTCTCCCAAACATGCATCCCTTTCTTAAGTGGCGAAACGTTGAGAATAATTTGAAAGGGATGAATTTCGCTAATATAAACTCACGACTCTCGCATTATCTCGCGGAGTCCTTTCCAGTCCTATTTTCTTTTAGAATCGCCTCGTCTCTCGAGCTCGTGGAGGAGAACTCGGGCGTACGTTTTTGTGAAATAGTACCAATTTGAAGGTAAGATCGAGTCTCAGTACGGGGGACTTGTAGCGCGAGGATGTCTTTTTGGAGAACACGTCCCCTTTTTACTTTATCTTTCATCCGATATTTCTCGAGGTTATTTCGGTCGTTCGTATGTAGAACTTGTGTGTTTCTCGACCGAAACAGGAAGACGAGATACTTGGAATTTTTTAGAAGAGTACCTATTGTCTGACAAATAATTGCACTGTTGGCTATGTCTATTCTTTTCTACGCGTAGTTTACAAAATTTCATTTTAATTTGTGAGTCTTGCTCTTTTTAAAGATTATTTCACATTCATATGTTATTCAACTCGAATGCATAAAATATTCAGTTGTTTTTTAAATAGATGAATTAATTAATGAAATTATAATATTACATATAATATGATATAATATAATATAATTATATTATTAATGGAATCTACAAATGGTACAATAGATAATGCTCAAATGAGTCAACAAAAGAAGACTAGGTTTTTATTGCTATATACGTTCCTCAAATATCAAACGAATAATATTAAAAAATTATATTTGTATTCATTTTGTTCATTAATATATTGCATACCTCGGTTTACGTTTGACGAAACGTTTCTTAACGTTATAAACAATCTTGCAACGCATTATATAGGAAATATTTTATTTCTAAATTTTTCTAAATAATTATTAGAGACGTCATTCTTCCAAAATAACGTACTTTCCGTCACGGTACAGCTTAAGAAATGGAATTCTTTCAGGTAAAAAGACGAAGAGAGAATGATAGTATGTCCTTTCACGTAGAACTGCATTTCGCTCAGAGAATGCTGATTCGTAAGCGAAGGTGAAACTGCATTTTCATCTCCTTGCGCTTCATGGGGGTGCTCGGGCAAGTATCGACGCATTGAATTGAAAGGGACGATAGCAGAACCTTAAGCTTCGTATCGCACCTAATCCACTGTGTTTGATTAGTAATCGAACCAATTCGATTATTTACTCGATAGGGTTAAACGATTCAACCGTGTAAGTAGCTTTCCATTGACATCGAGTTTCAATTGAAGCATTAAACTTGGGACGCCGTGAACCGAGGAGATTCTCTCGCGAACAAAAACTATTCAACGTTTCGTACTTGCGAATCGAAGAGCAAGATATCTATTGATTTTCCATAAGTTTCCATAATAGTAAATTTCCCACGATTTTTTCCCATAATAGTGTACATGATTGTATAATAAAAAATTTCATGATCTTACTTGATGAGAAATAGTGGTGTCGATATTTAATATTAATTTTCGAATTTTAAACGATTTAACTTACTCTAATACGTTTAATAATGGTACCAGTATTCCTTTCTAGCAATTTATTTAAATGTATCGTATTGTAGTATCAATTACCAGACTGCAGATTTTATAAAACTTCATAAGATTTGAGTACATAATTTTATAAGAATAAACTATCTGAAGAATACTTTTTACATTTTTAATATACGAAAGAAAGTTTCATCTTTTTTTCTTTAGACGGAAATAGAAAATTGTATAAAAATATTTTTCTTTGAAAGTAATTCAAAATTCCATAGTTTTATTGAAAGGAACTACATAATAGTCTCGATGTACTGTTTTTCTTTAATTACGTCATTTGATTACATTTATTACATTGATGAATTCTTTTCAGCGAGTACGACCAATATGAATTATTCATCAAATTTTCGTAGAGACTTTGATTATTTTATTTGGCACGATATTGACATTCATGGCAATTATCCGCGTTCCCGAATATAACTCAGGAATAATCCAGTTAAATACCTCGACGATCAGAGTCGAATAATTCACGTGCCGACTGTAAAAAAAAAGTGTACATTTAAAACAGCATCCCCAGACGGGCAGACAAATTTGTATTTCCATCGCTGTCTGACCTTCGTATGGATTTAACCAAAAGGCAAACTTGCAGAATTTACTCGACCGGCAGATCCTTCGAATCAGCAAAAATATTACTTGCGCAAGTTCAAACGGACCATTTTTTTCAAGCAACGATATTGCTCCCAGAAATGATCGATATCCCTTATAGAGTAAACCTTTCATCTTCTCTAATCTGTACAAATTTATTTTAAAAAAAAAAAAAAAAAAAAAAAAAAGGAAAGAAGAAAAGATATCGCGAACGGCTTTCGTTCGTTATCGAAACATGCATGAGATGAGAATTAGAAGGTAAGGAATTCCGATTAGCAAGTTTGCGTTGCGAGAGGTTTCTCAGATCCGGCAACAAACGATCCGTAAGATTTTTCAGAATCTTAAATTCCCACCGTCTGGCTTCTGTATTGCAGTAGCTACCGCCGAGGGGGAAACGCTGACTCTGTCGAAAGTAACCAGAAGCGAGATGGGCACCTACCTGTGCATCGCGAGTAACGGAGTACCACCATCAGTCAGCAAACGGATGATGCTGCACGTTCACTGTGAGTACGCCCCTAATATCGTTTCACCGGCTATTCTCGCCGAAAAGATTTATCTCGGTCATCCACCGTGATCCGAAGATCATCTTTACGGCGAGTGGGAAACGGATAAATTCCGCTAATTCGCGTTTTCATTTATTTCTTTACTTGGAAATTCTAGCGCGCGTGCCGCGATTTGTCAATGTTCATTTGTCAAATTGCTCCTCATGCTGAGGCTATTTGGCTATTAACGAGCCATAATTTATATTTAATATTAAGATTAATAATTTTATTGTTTATAATTTATTATTTAAAATTTTATTTATTTAATATTAAAATTTATATTTATATTAAAATTATATAATTTTATAATTTATATTTAATATAATATAATAAAAATTATATTATTTTAATAATAATTTATTATATTATTTTAATTATTATTTTATTAGTATTATATTATTTTAATATTAATTTATTTTTATTTATAAATTTTTTTAATATAATTTCAATTTTATTTTAATATGATATAATATGATATAATATTATGTAATATAATAAAAATTATATAATATTACATTATTCTAATAATATTTAATTTTTTTAATATAATTTTAATTTTATTTATTGTTATAAATCTTATCTCTTAAAAATGGAGATCAGTAGAGTCTCAAAATTTCGAATTAAAAATTTCAGAATTAAGCAGTAATAAACTATCTCGATTTTTGTGGAAAGTCCAACGATATCAATCAGGGATTAATATGAGGGAAGAGTCTTACTATGAATGATAGAAAATTGGTTGGAAATCTCAGCATGATCTTTCAGTTTTTAGAAAAAAAAAAAAGAATGGAAATGTATCGTGGGGATTATGACGTTGTAATTTTTATTTTTAAGACTTTGATGTTTAACAAGTCGAGTTTAGAATAATTTTAGATCTAGACTATAGTATAGAATTCGTGTAACATAACATTTTAACAAAGATTTTGATGTGACAATTATTTTTAATTTTCTTATGTTTAAATAATAAGAATGGAAGCTCTGACACACATTATTTGTCATTGATCTATTCATCAAACTTTATGATTTCTTCCCTAACTGCGTTAAACTTAATTATTCCCTTCTAAAAACATTGTAATGCTAATAGAAAAGTTATCGAAGGGCTATTGTATGGTTCCATTAATTGTGAACTTTGTCGGTCGAAATGAAATTTCAAATGAAAATAAGGATTCAACTGGGACGTAGCTTTGTCGAAACACAATCTATTACGAGTTTCACTCGATATTGTGACGCGAGAGATTAACTCGTAACTATCTAGATTTGCTAATCTCCTTCGGTGATAATTTCTTCATTTAGAAATCTTGTATTCGAGTTTCCGTTCCCAGTTTAATTCTATTCCTCTCAACCTCCCCCCAAGGTTCGCAGTTTCTTTTAGTAAGCCCTCGTAATATTTAAATAACTCTATCACGTCTGTTTCCTTGACTGGTTCCACGTGGAGCTGTAAATTGAGTTACATCACGCGATATACATTCATACATGTAATATATTCAACGTCGTACCACTACATGCCAACTTCATAACTCGTTTCCTACCACGATATTCAAAATAGGGAGCGTTTCGAAATTCCTGTTATTACATTGTCACGGCGGAATTCTTTCTTTCACGTGAAATGTGATAAAAAGTGGAATACAGGTAATACTATTTGCTGGGAAATCTTCAGTCCTAACGACTTGATGCTTCGAAAAATCTATATTACATTTTAAAAATTCCTCTTGAAAAGGAAGGATCATTTCTTAATTCTAGCTCCATACTTCAATTCACGATACAAGAATTAATAATTGTTAGTGTTGTGATCGAAATATGTCAAAATTTTTTGAATCGTTTGAAAAGAAATTTTCCAATTATGTGAATAATATGGATTTTTAAAATATGGATTTCCAAGTTATTAAGGTAACAAGGCAATTATTTTCTTGTTCTTTAAAATTGTCAGTCGTTGTTAGAATCAATCACAACTCTTAAATCTATTAATACTTCCTCGTGAAAACAGTGTAAGGTTCGATTTTTCATAAATCACATTTGATTGCTTCATGAATCAATTATTTTATGTTTCCAAAGCTTGAGAGGAGACTGTTGCGACTCATAGTATCGCTGTCAGAACGCGTCAATAAGTAACGCAGCCACGTAAAAAATATAAAAAACACGATTGTCGAAAAAAAAAAATAAAAAACGCTTATTTGCTTAGGGGCTTTTCCACTCACAGCGGAAATAAATCCACCGGATACAAAATTCACAAATCGCTCTGCACGACACGAGTTCCGAAAGCTTTCAAATCTCTAAAAAAAATCTCTAGAAATAAAAATACTAGAGCAACCAATTTTCCATTTCTGCAGTAAATAAATTTTCTATGAAAAGTTCGATGGACTTTTAAATTTGTTGAAACAAGTAGCCAGCATTTAACATACTGAAAGAAAGTACGATCGAAACGACATTGGGAACACCCAATTTTGTTAATATATAATATATAATACCATATTTTGTTAATATATAAATAAAATACTATATTTATAAAATTTATATTTAAATATTTATATAAAATACTATATTTATATATATATAAAATAATATATTTATATATACTATATATAAACTATATTTATAAATTACTATATATTACTATATATATACTATATTTATAAATATATTTAAAAAAACGCAAAAGAAAACACATGTGACACGTTAACTACTTAAAACTACTTGATCTTTCAACTGCACAAAAAATTCTTCGAATTTCCCTACCTGCCGAAATAAATAACTATGCGAAAACAGGGAAACTGATGACACTCAATTACGCGTGCTCTTATCGGAAAGAGAAAACGGAGAAAGTGTGTGGACGAAGACGAGGTTCTTCGAAACAGTTGGGACAGAAGAATTTCTTAAAACTCAGGCACCACGGAGATGCATCATCGACAGAACACGAGGAGTAAGACAAAGGAGCGGAGGGATAAAATTCGCCCGGGAGCCAGGCCACGGAGAAGAAGCCACCGTATTCCCGCCACTTAGGCACGAGGCGTTTTTCTGTGAATCGCGCGCGTAACGCGAGAACCCACGGTCTTATCCGAGGCGAGTCGCGGTCTTAAGAACGTCCCGTACACAGCGATGCCAAAGGCAAAAAAGGGAAGAAAGGGAGGAGCAAGAAGAAAAAGAAGGGGGGAAAGAAAAAGAAACGACGAGAGAGAAGAGAAAGAGCATGCACGAAGATAGCCATCGTCTCCTCCTTTGCATAATTTCAACGTAGCGAAAGGGTAGCTCGTATCTGTATTAGAAAAGAAGAAGAAGAAGAAGAAGAAGAAAAACGTGGTGAAAGGGAGTGAATGGTTGCAATTGGCAAAGGAATGGGGAAAAAGAAATCAAAGATAAAACGCGGTTTAAATAACAGCAAGAGCTGTATAGAGTATAGAAGCCTGGAAGAGAGAGAGAGAGAGAGAGGTAATAAAACAATTACCTTGAAGACGATATACCAAGTGTGGATGGAGGATAAAAGTATAAGGATGAAAAAAGAGAATGGCTTGAAAGTAAAAGTGGTGGCTGGCAGATAATCTCGAGGATAATCAAGATTTTAATTGAGATTGAATTAATATTTTGTGAGCTCATGATCTGATGATCTTTAACCTCTTGCGCTGGGATGACGTGCTGATTTTCTGAGTTTTAAGTATATTTAATATTATATTTATATTTCATATTATATTTAATTATTATATTTATAGCCCAGGCAAAGCAAATAATAAATTTATTACTTCTCAATCATTTCTATCCAGTGAGATGTCCATACCGACGAGTTCAAAAAGAAAGCGACGAATTGTTGTATGTACGGCTTGGGTCACTCGTTATGGTCCGCAATCAGTTGCCAGCGCAATTTAACGATCAAGCGACGATTTGACACGATTGAACCGCGGATTTTCATGCAAAAGTGTCATGGAAATTGATCTGACCTGCCAAATATTATATGTTCTACGTACTTTTGCACGTTCTGACGTGTTATACGTGTATTTTCGCCGCGTCGAGTTTCCCTATAAACGCGCAGTAAGTAAGTAACTCGACTATATAAAAGACTCGAGAATTAAGAGAGGCATTGAAAACATCAAAGTAATACATCCTCGCTATTAAAGGAAAAGGGAAAAAATGAAAAAGAAAACGAAGCTGAAATTTAACAGCCAAGATCGAAAGATGAAAGTTGAAAGCAAACCGTGGAGGGGGAGGAGGAGAATCGCGAACGAATAAAAGCGAACAAAAGCGAAAAGTCTACACACCGAAGCCAACAACACGGTAACAAACTCACGAAGAGCGAAGAGGAGAAGCGTGAGAGAAGTTGCGAAAGAAGAGGGGCGATGGGGGGTGTGTGTAAGCAAAAAGGGTTGGCGAAGCGAAGCGAAGGACTAAGTCGCGGTTACGACCGCGTTTCTCGGGTGTCTTAGAACCGACAGAGAGGTAATTCTTCGCCGGAAATTGGATGTACCCAGGTTCGTGCTACGATCTTGCACCTGCCCTCGAGCGATAAGATCGCGCGGGATAATCGAATTTCATTGAATACGCTCGGCGCCCGCAGACCGTATAGACGATTGCGTCCGCGAGCTATTGCTGCGAAATTCAAGCGATCGGAGGCTATTGTCGATTGAGAGACCGGGCACGAGCCGGAAGGACAAACCGGATCATCTCGGAAGATGGCTGGAGGATCCGTCTGTGTGCTCGACGTGGAAACGTGTTCGACGACAGACTGGGGGAGAAAGGGGATTCTACGCGATCGATCCAGTTCCGGTTTGTCCCGATTGTTACGTCGCCACGCAAAGCGAGAAATTTACGTGGTCGCTTGCGAACGAGGAAAGGGGGATGAAGAAACGATCGTCTCTCCTTTTATCTTTCTGCGAACGAGAGGACGGGACGAGAGAAAAAAAAAAAAAAAAAAAAAAGAAAAGAAACGAAAGGGAAGAAAGGATAGCTCGTTTGCTATCTCTGTTTCTCTTTCCTTTTGA